TGTACAGGTTTAAGAGCAACAACAAACACTGACAGCATCATTTGCGTAATCAAGTTAGAGCACAAAAAATTAGAAAATATAAAAACTGAGCTCGCAAGGCTGAAAACCCGCAAAGGGCGGCTTTGGCAAAAGTTAGAGTGCAAAAGGAGAGTAAAAATACCCGAGTGAACCTAAGCCTGAACTACGTAAGGCTTGATTCCCATCTTTGGGATACGTAGGCAACTTCATCCTGGAGTTCAGCCATAACCCTTTTCCCCGATCAACTTTGCCCATTTGATCATCTCGATCATCTTTGTCTATTCAGCTTTCAAGGGTTCGGTTATGATCTCCAGCGCAGTGCTACTCAGACTAGGGGCAACTTTCCGTTGCCATGTAGTTCCGCGGTACTCTTCAGACTGGGGGCAACTTTCCAATTGCAGGGATCCGGGGTTGTACATCTCAGAGACAGATCTCAGGCGTGTCCAGTTCTGATCCATATCGAAAATGGTTTTGAAAAGTTTTAATAAAAGTTGATTTTGCTCAAATTAATCTTTTTACAACTTAGACCATTTTTGGACCAAACGAAAATTTTTTAGTACCCACAACCTTCAATTTCATTGATTTCAATATAGAGTTCTTCTACTCTTGAATACAAATTGAAGTTGCTTTTTATTACACTCATAAAGAAAACTTGAGAGCACTGATAAAGCAATAAATTCGGGGCATAGATAAGTCAGGTGTTCCTGCGTTCCCTCCCAGAGCTGGTCGAAGCTTCTGATGCCAAGCTGGGCCCGATCTGCGCCTCTTTATTGAGCTAATCTATGCACTCATTAGACAAAGTGCAACTGAAAGTGGGAGCAGGGGTCAGAAGCTCTCTTGTCCTCCATGCCGTGGCATACCGAGCTAGCTGTGTGCCTCAGACCGGAAATACAGTTGGGTACTCTATCCCCTCTACCGGGCAAGTTTAATCATGACCAAACTGACGCCGGAATCGGAACGGAAAGTAGAAGACACAGCGTGTCAAGCCAATCAACTGAATCCCGGCCTGCTGGGACATGCTGTAGCTCATTGCCGGTAGATTGAACCAACGACAACGCCAAGTCATGCAGTCTATCGACAAATTGCACATCTAGTCAAACCACCATCCCTCATCAAGGGTATCAACTAGGCGACGTCGGAAGAAGTAGCTGCAAGCTGAGTATGCTGGGCAAGAGTTCACAACCTGCAATTTGTCTATCAACCACACTTGGGGAGGGATGAAAAATGAGAGATTAAAGAATAGAGAGGTGTATATTGAGAGAAAAAGTGAGAAACGGGTTTTGTGAGAAAAAACCGAGCCTGAGGGCCAAGTGATGTGAGCAACACACATGCGAGATAGGGTGGGAAACATTACCTGCAGCAACAGTGGACTCCTACGAATCTGTTCGTCTCTCGGCAATGGAAAGCATCCAAGCCCATCAATGTCTCGGCCAATGTCATGGCAATGCAGCTCTTTCCATCTTTCAAGCCTTGAGCAACTTTGATCAGATGAATGCTAGACCCGCTGAAGCCTGGGGCAAACAAAAAGTGAGATTGCATGCACAAGCAAAGGGCATGTCGCCGAAAACCTTGCCAGTGGTGATCACCGTGGCCACCAGCATCAGAAAAGCGGTGAATCAGGCTGAGGATGTCCAATTCTCCGTCGCAGATCAGAGCTCAAGTCGTGCATAGTAAGCCCACACATTCGTTCTAAGGCTTGGGCGTGGCCGAAGCGAAGCTGGGGCAAGATTTCTTCGTTGTGCTTGAATTCCATCAAAGCTTGGAAATCTTTGAAGGTGTGACACATCTCTTGCCCGCCAAAGCTAAAGACATGTGTTATCGGGTTCCAAAGCCTTGCCGCGGCATGGAGAAACGGAAGGTGCAGCGGAGTGCAACTCAGCGTGAATAATACATTTATGCCAAAGCCTCGGAAATTCAACTTTTCCAAGCCGTCCAAGGTAGCAATCCAAGCTGTGAGATTTTGGCTGAGAAATGCCTCCATTTTGATGCAAAACTGAGATGAAATGAAAGAACCACGAAGCTGGAACTTTTATGGAGGATAAGACACTGTTTGGAGGACACGTGTCAAAAATCTGGAGGTCGCCGGGCCAACTGGTCGGCCGACCACTTTTTCTGGTCGGCCAGCTAGTTTTTCTGGTCGGCTGACCACACAACTGGTCTCCAAGGCAGAAAGCTTGTCGGCCAGCCTCTTTGGTGGTCGGCCGTGGAGGAAAATTGGGTTTTGGCCTTTTCTTAGCCTCTAGAAGGGAGCTCCTAGCCTTTCCATGCGTTGGGAGTGTTGAAGGTCCGTGTTTACCTCTGTTTCAGATGCATTCCGTCGCCTGGTTTGTCAGAAATACGTTTTCTTATCGAGTTGTTGTTGAGTTTTGCTTATTGAGTTGTTAAGTTTTGTTTATCGAGTTGTTAAGTTTGCTTATCGAGTTGTCGAGTTTTGTGCATCGAGTTGTTACTCTTTGTTTAATCAACATTGTCATGTTTTGCTTATCGGGTTGTAAACTTGCTAAGGTTTTGTTGTTTCTTAGTAAGTTAAGTTGTTTAGTTTGTTGTGTTGGTTCAGTACCTGACTTGGCAATACACGGTTCTCAATTTCCATTCAATCTCATTTTTGTGCAAAATGATGCAATGCGACGCTAAGAAAACAAAATATAAATACTTTTTGGACAAAAGCTGTTTCATTCCATCATAGCTTCTTTTGTTACAACATTGTACAACAGGGTACAAGTTTTAAAGAAAATAAAATTGCCTAAAAGCTAATGCGCTACAACTACTAGTAATAAAAGAAAATAAAGCAAGAACATCTGCATCAGTGCTCTCAGGCTCAAGATCGAGAGGCTCTCTTCATCCTCTTCGCCTGGACAGCCTCTGCAATACCCACGCCAGCACCATCATCTGAATCAGAGCTACCGTCCTCAGGATCCTTTCTGGCATCACCTCTACTCTCAGAGCCAGAACCAGAGTCCTCCTCTTTGCCTGTGGATGTCTCCAATTGAGGATGCGCAGGCTCCTCCTCCTCGCTAGACTCATCATCATCTCTGATAGGCGCTCTACGCCTGCCTCGGCTACGAGTCGAGCCCCCTCTCCCAGCTCCTCGAGAAGACCTAGATGGCTCAGCTTGTTACGGTGGCATCTGAAAACAAAAAGAGGGCAATTTGAATACATCAGCCAAAGCAAGTATATCAGATGCAGATGTGGGAATGTTGCATAGAGTGTGTGCTTGTAAATGTAGTATATGAATGTGGTGTGTGCCAGATGCGCTCTACATATGCAGTCAACTAATGTAGTGAAATGGTCAAATTCAGCATGTCATCAGAAGTATGATAAATGCAAGGAAATTGAAAAGTACCGAAACACCGACGATGAACAGCTACGTCTCCCTCCGCAGGACCATGCTCTCAAGTGAAGCCACCACTCCGAGTAACCCCTCGCAATACTCTATGGGAGGCTGCAGATGCAAGTGCAAGTTATCAGTGAATGAATGAATGTCCAAATATCTGAGTGATAAATCAAAACTGTAGAGCATACCGGTGGCGAGTCAGGGTCTCTGACGTATTGATGATCAGGAAATAGAGGCTCCAATGGAATCGGGTAGGATGCCCCATACCGCCAGCCTGTCAGCTCGGTCGGGAGGTCTGGCCACCCAGCATGCTGGTAAGTCGGGGGAATCAATCCAGCCCCACCCATCGATGTGCTGGCCCTGCTAGTCGAAGGGGTATCTGCAGCCCAGACTTGGCTCGACGATGATGCACCAGCAGCCCTCCTCGTAGGAGTATGGATACCTGTCAATGAGGGCATCAAGTACGTATGGCGGTAAGTCGCGTACTCCCCCTCCTCCAAGAGTAGAACTGCATCAGTGCCCATCATAGCCTCCTCGACCTCCCGGGAAGTGAGTCTCTCAGTAGACCGTATATCCTCTAGAGGTGCTGTCGGGATACCCTGATCGGGGACGCCCATCGTCTGACGCATGAAGCGATCCCCCAGAAACCAGGCCCTGCCCACTGGCCCCTCAAATAAAATCCGGTATCGAGAAGAGGCCCACGCCCCAGGGAATCAGAAACGGGTATCTCCTCCCAAAGGTATCCAGGGCTCCCAAATGATCTGCGGATAACAAGTGCACAAACTGATTAGATGTCATAAATATGCAAGATGAACCAAGGCTGAAAACCTGAAGAAACGAGAATTCTAGATTACATAGGTCGCCCGCATCATGTTAAAGAACTGCCGAAGGTAGGGCAGAGTCTCCCGAGCCCTCGGCCGACACCTACCCTCGAATCTGCTAGAGTAGGGGATCTCCAGAGGTGCCTCCACCTCCAGCTCTGGGGCTAGCGTCGGGAAGTATGCATAAACCCACAGTTGTGAAAAACAGGACAGTGGCCGTCAGAATACAGAATGTATACAGAGAATACAGAATGCTGAGTGCAGAATGAAGAATACAGAATGTAAGGTATGCCGTGTACAGTGTACAGATAATGAAAAGCGGAGATGTGAATCAAAAGGGCAGAATGTACCTCCTAGGCTCTCCAGTAGCCGCGTACTATGTTCCTCCGCCCATGGGAGGTCACGCTCATATAACAGTAAAGGGTAGTGAGGTCGGTGCCACCCCAATCATACTGGCTGACTAGTGATAGGTCTACCAAAGCACTAAGCAGATAAAGTCCAACAGTGTTCCCCATGTCAGAGAACAAAGTGGTCCCAAGGAAGAACATCAAAAACCCTCGAGTGTACTGCTTTATCTCCTCGATAGTCTTGGGCATAGTCCCCCTGTACTGCGTGGGGAACCAGGTGTACCTGACTCTACCCGAAGATCTGTTAGTCGGTGGGCGAACTTCCAGCAAATAAATCCAAGCCGCCTCCCACTCACCCATATCTGCGTCATAGGGAACCGGTCGGCCGGCCACATCAAGGCCAGTTAGCATGGCAAAGTCAAATGGGGTCATCGTTAGATCCCCGGTAGCTGAAAAGTGGAACGAGTTGGTGGTGTCCCACTATCTCTCCACAAGTGCCCCTATCAAGGTCCTGCTCGCCGGGTAACGTGATAGCCCCGCGCAGAAGGGTCCAAATCCTGCATCGTCCACGATATCGCGAACGGTATCTGGGAGCTCCGCATACCACTCCCTAGCGGCGATCGAGCCATAACCTCGCGTAGAACGAGAAGATACCTACATTCAGAATTAACAGATGCATTTAGTTTTCAGAATGAGATGAATGAGCTGCGTGCAAATGAAGTAAATGGACTGTATGTTCAGTATGAGCTGCGTGCAAATGAAGTAAATGGACTACGTGTTCAGTACGAGTTGTGCGCCCAAAGAACGAGCTGTGTGCCCGAAAAATGAGCTGTGTGCTCGAGAAACGAGCCGTGTGCCCGAAAAAGTGAGCCGTGTGCCCGAAGAAACGAGCTGTGTGCCCGAAAAAACGAGCTGTGTGCCCGAGACAAACTGTGTGACAAGAATGAACCGTGTGTTCAGAACAAGCTGTGTGCCAACTTAACAAAATACTGTGTTGTGAGCTGCGTGCTGAATAAGCAGAAGTATGGTGTGTGAATGTGTTCAGAACGAGCAGATAAAAAATACATAGTGAAAGCGTAGAATGTGCAGGAAATGCAGAATACATTACAGAAAATGTAAAAGTGAAGTACGTACCTCTCGCGCTTGATGAGAGAGATGAGAATCTAGCTCCGGTAGTAGCAGATCCGCGGGTGCTCGTCGATCAAAGTCAGTGAAGTGATAGAAGTGGTCGGAGGTAGGACGTGCTCCTGAGGATGATATCTCTCGGGGTCGAAAGACCGAACTCTCAGAGGCAGTGACATGATGTTCGGCTCATCCTCGCTATGCGGCGGACCTCTACCATGATGAAAATGATCTGCTATCTAAAGAAATTTGCAAAAATGAACAAAAATGAGCCAAAATTAAAAAAAGTCAACAAAAGTGAACTCTCGGGAAAGGAAAGAGTCAACAAAAGTCAACTTCCGAGAAAATGTGCCAAATTTCGAGATAAACATACCTCAAGTGGTGAAAATTGAGAAAGAAACACCGAAATCAAATTTTAATCGGTTCAAAGTGAAGAGAACTGAAAGTTTTCGCGAAACAACTTCGCGTGGGGCATTGGAAAGAGCGTATAAAGCACAGATCTGAGCGAGAAAGTGGTCTAGGAAGGGAGAGGAACTGATTTCGGCCTAGGGGATGTGAGCAAAAGTGTTTTGGATAAGTGGATTTAAAGATCCGAGCATAAAAGGACCAAACTGCCCCAGTTTTGGTAAACTGGTCGGTCGACCAGGTTTTCTGGCAGGCCGACCACCCCCTGGGCAAAAACTGGTCGGTGGCACTGGTGGATGGTCGGTGGCCCTCCTGGGTGGTCTCCCAGGTCCCTTTGTTCTCCCTGTGAATTTTGGTGATGATTGGAGTCCGCAGCTCTCGAGAAAGTACAAGAAAAGTGCACTTTTCGGTGCGAAACACCTCCGCGAGAACTTCAAATCAAGTCTTCAATGCGTGGCTCACAGTTGCTCACCAAGAGCAAGGTGTATCCTTCTTGAATACGTTGCGACCCCTCCGAGAGGTAAATCGGAGGTCGCGTTTGAGTTGCTTTGTTTAAGGCTTGTACTTCTTTACTCAGCATTTTGTTTCAAGCATGCTTTTGAAGTTGTACTTATCTTGCATTATTATGCACATCACTTGCATTGTTGTGCACATTTTGTTGGTATTATCATGCCTCTATGCTTTTCATGCGTCGTCGCGCACATTTCACTTGCATCGTTATACACTTTGCCATCGGCACCATACGTGTCCGCGTTTGATATAGCTCTGAACATATGTTGCTAACTTATTGTACCTATTAAGTTCCTTTCTTTTACAGGCACGATATTGTATGTACGGTTCATTCAAGAGAAGTTCCGGTTCAGTTTGAACATACCTTTTCTCCTCTCGCATGCGGTGCGTTAGGACATCTTCGGTTTCTAACACTCGAATGAGTTCCGGTGTTCTTTCATACCTTTTCTCCTCACGCATCATCTTCGGTTTTGAACACTCGGATGAGTTCCGGTGTTCTTTCATACCTTTCCTCCTCTCGCATGCAGTGCGTTAGGACATCTTCGGTTTTGAACACTCGAATGAGTTCCAGTGTTCTTTCATACCTTTTCTCCTCTCGTATGCGGTGCGTTAGGACATCTTCGGTTTTGAACACTCGGATGAGTTCCGGTGTTCTTTCGTACCTTTTCTCCTCTCGCATGCGGTGTCTTAGGATATCTTCAGTTTCGAACACTCGGATGAGTTCCGGTGTTCTTTCATACCTTTTCTCCTCTCGCATGTGGTGCGTTAGGACATCTTCGGTTTCGAGCACTCAGATGCGTTCCGGTGTCCATTTGTTCGCTTTCTCCTTTTGCGTTTGATACGTTGAGATTTGTTTCGTTTGAGACTCTGGGTGTTCTCGGTAGTCACTTTTAGCCTTCTCCGCATGAGATGCAGTGAGAATTGTATAATTTTCTTACATCCTTTCTGCATGAGATGTGGTTTGGCTCGTGTTTACTTGCTTTGCATAACATTTGCTTAAACTGTTGCATTCATTGTGTATATTTGCTTCATTACAGCGTGCTTTGCATGATCATAAGTTATGTTCGGCTTTGTGCATACCCCTTTGCATTTTGCCCCTGCCTGCGGGCACATCTCTTTGTTTATCTCTCCTGTTTGTCTAAGTCTTCGGCCTTGTCAAAAATGGGTCATCTCTGGGCTTTGACATTCACTCCTGTCAGTTATGACTTTCGTGTTCTGTCAAAGAAGGGCAACTATAGACACCCCATTTTTGACTGACCTTAAGACTCAGACGTCATTAATTGAGCGCTCGGTGATTGTGCATGTTGTGCTCGTTCTGAGGTTTTGGAGTTTCAGCTGAGGTCCTTACCCCCGGACCTCGGGACCCTTTTATGCTTTGCCTCGGTTTGCGGACCAAGTCTTGCTTTCTCTTCCTGGAGGGAGGGAGAGGTCTTGTAGACCATCTCTCAGTGGCTGTAGGCTACTTTTCGTGGTCGTAGGCCACTGTTCCCGTTTGGAGACCAGTTTTCGATTTTCGGAGCTGTCGGCCGCGCGCCTCGGTTCGGGACCGCTTAACATTCTCTGTTTGGCACGGTTTTTGGCACACACCTTGTTTCCTCTGTCTAGAGGGACACTGCGACCCGGGAGACCACCTTTGTGGTCGCATGCCATTTTTGGTGCTTAACAACCTGTTTTTGGGGCACCCGGCCGCATGTTTTGCCCCCCGAACCCTCGTTTTGCATTGGTGTTGGTTCATTTTTGGCATGAACCTTGTTTTCATTGTTTGGAAGGTGGTACAAGGGTGGGAGACCACCTTTTCTCTTGGAGACCACTTCTCTCTCCGCCAGCCGATTTTCTTGTCGGGAAACTGGTCTCCTTGATTTTTGAGCCACATTTGCTGGTCTCCCACCATACCACTAGCTTGCATTTAGTGAGGAGACCATCAAATGGGCTGGCCGACCACTTTTCCTTGAGGGAGACCACTCACCCTGGCCGGCCGACCAGGAGAAGTGGTCGGTCGACCACCTTAACTGGTCGGCCTGCTCCCTCCAGTTTTGTCTCTGTGAGTTGTTGCTAGCTGTGCCAGTTGGAAGGCACAGACTGCATCCTCCATACACGTGTATGGAGGATCTTTGGCCTTGGTTTTTAGCTTCTTTGAGAAGCTTTGGCCTCTTTTGTCTATAAAGGAAGGCCTCCCCCTCCTTTGTGAGGGTTCAGATTTTGGTTAAGGCACATACACATATCTCTCTCTGTGTCTCTATATTTAGGCTTAGGAAGTCACTACAACAAGTTGGGCATTGAGTGACGAAATTTTTTTGTCTTCAAAGAGCTAATTTCGTCACTATAGATATTTGTGAGGAAATATTTTCGTCACCGGTTTCGTCATTGAATGTTTGTCACTAAAAACCAACGTGACGAAAAATAATTTCGTCACCAATGAAATTACTTCAGCGACGAAATTTTTTGTCACCAATAAAACAACATTTTGTCTCCAAAAATTCTCATTTTCGTCACCAAATAGTTTTTCAATACCATATTTATAACTTTAGTTGACGAATAAATTTGTCACGCATATTGATCATTGATGAGGAAATAATTTTGTCACAATAAGCTGTAAAGATGACAAAATTTTTTGTCTTCAAAAGTCATAATTTTGTCACCAATAAAACAATATTTTGTCTCCAAAAATTTTCATTTTCGTCACCAAATAGTTATTCAGTACCATATTTATAACTTTAGTTGACGAATAAATTTGTCACGCATGTTGATCATTGATGAGGAAATAATTTCGTCACAATAAGATGTAAAGGTGACGAAATTTTTCGTCTTCAAAAGTCATACATGGGTGACGAAATAAATATATATATACGTGACGAAAATTTTAGTCACCAAACAACAAAATAAATAAAAAGTTTCATATATAAACTGCAGTAAATTTTGTCACAAAAAAAGTTTATTGGTGACGAATAATCACTTGGTCATAATAACAAGTACAAATGACGAAACAAATTCATCACTAAACCTGTTCCATATTTTATATTCAATTTAAATTATTATTTCACAAATATCCCTGCGCATATCCCAATAGCCTTTTAATTGTACTAAGAAATCCACTAGCTATTATACAGCACTCCACAAAAAAATTCACTAAACAATTTATTTTATAAATCAAAATATATCCATCAAACAACCTTAATAATAATCCATTAAGTATCACAAAAAAACCATCAAAGTAAATCCCAAAATAAACTAACGTGGTGTCCACCAAAAAAAATCAACACTCAATCTTAATTTGCAACTACAACTAAGCATCAGTTTAGGAAAAAAATTCAACAGTTGATCTTCATTTGCAAGTATGCTTCCGAACGTCATTAAAACCAATCTACAAAAAAAAATAAACAAGGCAAACATTAGCATAGAATGTATATATATAAAGTTTATTATAATAGCAAAGTTTTATTATAAACTTAAAGCCAAATATTAGAAACTTAACAAATATACAGAACTGTTCTCAAGATCACAAGCTTGAAGTTATTTGAATAGAAATTAACAAAGATTAACTAAAAAGATGAATACCATGCTCATTCCCACCCATGGGCTTTGCAATGATCACCTTAACATGGCAATTCACTATATCCCTAGAATTATGCTCGGATCAAAAACTGGCTGTGACCCACGAACACCAGCCAAACCAGTTATAACACTACAACATCTCATTGTAAGAACCAAAGCATGCATTCAATGAGAATGGGAAGGAACAAATATTGTGGCTGCTGCACAAATGGGATTGAAGAGAGAGAGAGAGAGAGAGAGAGCAACAACCTACAATGCAAAAAATGAAAAACTGGACCATTAGCTTGGTGAGTTGTGACAGCAATAACCAAAATGGATGTAGATAATAAGCTTATTATTTTTAACATTAGCATTAAAAGGCCACGCACAAAACCTTAAAACAGCTCCCTTCTAAATTTAGAAAATAATACACACTGCTATACGTATTATTTTGTTTTAACATTGATTGCTTCCTTTTTTTTTTTTTGATCAACAAAAACTTTATTGATGAAAGAACCTTACAAGAAGGAGAAAATACATCAATAAAGGGGACAAGAAAGGACAGGGGAGAGGGGGATGATGCACAGCACCAAAACCAAACTGTTGGTGACGGACCAACAAGAACACAAAAAACACAACAGACAGCAGGATAAAACGCACACAGCAAGCTACCTATCCCAGCAAAGGTATATAGAAAATATACATCACCAAGCCAACAATTAGATTCACATCCAAAACTGAAGCAAAACTGAAGCAAAATTACCCAGACCAGCTGCCCAGCAGATCTGTCCACTCACACAGCATAGAGATACAACCAGTAAAGCAGAATGATACCAACAGTAGAGCATACAGATACCAACAGCAGAGCATACAGATACTTGTGACTTAGGCTATACAGATACCAACATCCACAGATAGAAACACACCTAACACCAGGCTATTATCTGACTTAGTTTTGTCTCTACTTTGGTTCGTGTGTATTTTAACTAGAGTCATGCTAAGTAAGAATTTTGATAATGAATCTATTTTCATTAAATACATCTTCAAACTTGTTAAATCTTAGTTAATAAGTAGTCAAACTATTGTACTTTAACTAGTATATACTAACCGACATGAGAAAAATAAAATGATAAAGCGAGCGAGACTTACCAAAAAGGTGATGTACGAGTGCATGGGATACCTCATCCTCTAAATTGTCCTTTGAAACCTTGCTTCTTAAGAAACTCCATGATGCTTGATGTGATCTCAAAATGCTTGTCAATCGACCCATTCATCTTCCCTATCTCTTTATTTTGTGCTTGAATTTCCTCTCTTTGTACTTGAATTTCATGTTTCTGTGCTGTAATTTCCTCTTTTTGTGACTGAATTTCCTCTTTTTGTGACTGAATTTGCTCATTTTGCTCTTGTATTTCCATCTCTAGACGCCTCACATAGCCACTGTCAGTCGAAGCACTGGTAGTCCTGACAGAGAAGGAACGCCTCAACCCGAGTCCTTTAACATATCCCGACCTTGGCTTTAGCACCTTCACAGATAGCTCCTCCGGAGTAATTGGAACCACACCAGGTCTGGAGCAATGTTCAGCTTGAATCTTTATCATATTATCCTGTCATTTAAAAAAAAAAATTAGAAAAATGAATAAAGATACAATTCAAATTGCAATCATCCTAATACAAAAAGGTAAATATACATACATAATTCTCTTCGCACTCCGGAGAAATCCACTGCTTTGTGACATCATTAAAGTGTGTAGATTTGTAAACACATGGCAACTCTGGTAGTTGGCCCCCATTTGCAATTGTCTGATTTTTTTTGTTCAACTAGTAAGTTAAATAAGAATGATGGTAGTAGAATCATCTTTTAAAAAACAAAAAACCGAACAAAAAATTAAAGAAGACCCACCGCCTCGTGTACCCTAACTGGGAGAGATTTTGACCCACACCTATGCTTCGTCTTCAATTGATTTCTATTGTCAATGTTAGCATTTGATTGCTTCTACAAGGAGGAAGTTCCAATAGAAAAATATATATATTAGGAAGACAAGGTAATTGTCAACAATAAATAAACATAAGAAAAGACAAACAACCGTAAATCCAGCGACAAAAAGACAAACAACCGTAAATCCAGCGACAAAAAGAAAAACAACCGTAAATCCAGGTCCTATAATAATTTCAAATAGAAATTACGGAATATACAATAAGACGCCTACTATTTACTGAAACAATTAGCATCTATATCAATTTTTGGGTGTTTGAAGAGGCATGGTGTCACTAATTAGTAATTTCCCATGAAATAAACTTGCCAGTGTCACCCCAGAAAGTAATTGAGATGTAATGACACATCAAAAAGTTTCTACATAATTGAGATGGAAAGTGAGGTTTTGAATAACTGACCATATTCTGCAACTTGTGATATATGCCCGTAATATCTTTCTTTTTCCACTCCTCGAGATCAAAAAAGTTCATCCCATATGCCCACCCACAAGCGTTTGGATCAAAGTTTCTTGCAATATGTGGGTTTGAAAAGTTAAGATACTTGTCGAAACGGTGAAAGCTCTCACCACAGGTTTCCACTGCACCGTTCACTTTTCCACGGAGATCCACCGACCACAATCCTGTCAAGTCCTTCTGGACAACGATATCATCATCAAGAAACAGGATTTTATCCAACTTGGGATAAACCTGTGGGAGATAAAACCTGAGGTGGTTGAGCATTGAAAGATATTTTGGGTTCCTGTACTTCAGATTAGAAGAGCCAGCAGTGGAATGATCTGCCTTGAAATAGTACTCCTTCATGGCAGAAGACTCTAGCTGCCTCAGAACTGGGCAGTACGAGGAGTTGAGCCACTTAAATTCATCAACATTTTCAACATGGATGGTAGCTTTTCCAGGCGGGTTCAACAGAAACCACATGTTCATAGCTCCAAAGTTCAGTTTATCAGTAACAAGATGAAACACATGTTTCTCTGGCTCCTGCAACACAGCCAAATGGCATATTTAGGTTAGAGAAGGAAAACAAGAAGCAAAATTTGCATCAGAACCTGAATCCTAAATCATGAGTTTCAATCACTATATCAAGACATATGGACCATATTCAATGGTGAAAGATCAACCAAAAGGGGGCACCCACTCCAAGAATGTCAACGCCAACAAAATCTATGATCTGAAGCAACTTCAAAGAAAATGATTAAAAAATGTTCCCCATCATTTTTTAAAAAAATTCAACGACAGTGCAAATAATCCAAACCATTGCAACTCTTTTTTGCATGCATATATCTATATAAGACCAATTTATTGTCAAGAGTTTATTAAGTTTACCAGAATACGCTATAGCTCGAATGCTTCAGGTGCAAATTTCATCATACAAAGAAGTTAATATGCAAAAAAGCTTCAAAGTACGTCACTGCTTGTATTTAAAATCAAACAATGAAACCAACTAGAGACGTTGGTACAAAGCTCTCTACCTTCGCATTCGTAATGGTTGAATTGACAACAACTGATGCAGCCAAGACATTGTCAGAGAAAAGTGCATAATGGTATAGCTTTGGATTTTCCAGATTCTCACTCTTGGGGAACTTTCTTTTATCTGGTGGGAGGAGATAGTAATCAATGGTTAAGCGCATGGATAAGCAGTGCACTCCATTTGGAATAGTCTTGGCCGCTAACTGGCTCAGGAATGTACTCTGCTTCTTTGAGCTCCTAACTTGTTCATCTGCTGACTGAAGCATTGCTCTCAGCTTTCCAGTGACTACTTTGCAATCAAACAGTTGCCCTCTAATTTTTGAGAGCAGTTGGCCCATAGTTTTGATTTTCTCGGGTGCACTGTATGACATTTTTTGTTCACAATAAAATGAAAAGTGCCACAACCATAAACATAAGAACAGGATGAAAAGCAAAAGACAACACATATACAATAACATTATACTCATGCTACCTGTGAGGTAGATCAGCATCTGTAGTTACCTCCCCTAAGGCACGCTGACTTTCTTTGAGCCGATTCTGTAGTTCTTGGGCCAAGTCATACTTATTTTTCATATTTGCAATGCTTATGTATACCCTTGCCATAATGATTTGATCTCGCATCAAGCGTACAGTTGAATCAGAGTTCTCGTTCTCATTTTCTTTCCTCCATAAATTATACTTTCCCAGAACTGCAGAGTCAACTGATTTGGAACGTTCAATGGCTGCATTTTAATAAATAAGAGTAGAGAAAGAAAGTTGGCCAGTGGTTGATCAATTTGTATACAATCAGATTGCAATTACTATGGATCTTGGCAATTCCACTCCTCCCACAACAAACACACTTGTCTGTTACTGCAGTTCCTTTCTTTCATTTTCTTGTTCTAGTTGTTTCTGTGTTTCAGTTTCTATTTCACTTTCCTTGATTTCTGGAAGGGTTTCTTGGTCCCCAAATGTCCTCTTCTGCTCCTAAACATGACTCATGATTCTCTACTAATGTCTTGCGAATTGCTGACTGGTTCAACTCAAGAAAACCAGCTAGAAAACCAGTAATGATTACAGATGAAAAATATCCAGATTCAAAACTCAGTTAAAAATCAACCCAACCAAACAAAACCCACAAAAAATTCAGCAAAAGAATATTATGAATTGCAACTTCACAACCAAACCCACAAAAAAATTCAGATTCAAGCAAAAAATAAGCAATAAATGAACCCATATCCATTCAGTTAAAAAATGGAACACCCTCTCAGACCCATTCAAACAAACACTTAATGGGTGTGAAGCCCTGGACTGAAATGGGTTGGGGATTAACCTCTGAAATTTCAAATGATGAAAATAAAAAGATTCAGAACTATGAAATTCTGATTCTAAAGGGTGAGAAGAACAGTTGTGATAGAGATTGCCATACCTGAGCGATGAAATCGCAACCTCTGAAATTGCAACCTCTAAACTATGATCACCAAAAAACCGTAAAGCATAACCTATTGCGAAGGGAACAACCAAGGGTGGGAAAAATCATCAAACTCAAACTCAATTCATTGACCCACACACAAACTCCATTCATTGACCCACACACACCAAATCTTCAGATTGATTCACTTAAAATCTGATCCAGAAACTGATTGTATTTCGGGAAAAAAAATACAACAGAGAGAGGGAGGAGGACAGGAATACCTTGTGATGAAGAGGAGCGTCGGTGATGAAGAGGACCGTCGGTTACAAACTGATGAGAACAGAGAAGGGAGAGGGATAAAGATAGAATAGAGGGGAGACGTGGGCAAGCGGGAAGGGGAGTAGAGAGAGATAAGGATAGAATAGAGGGGAGACGTGGGAGAGGAGGAAGTTCACTCTTTCTTTGGGCGGGAAGTATGTGTAGGTATATATTTAGGGATAATCTCAGCCATCTATATAAATAAACAAATAAATCTTCACCATTCAAATGTCCTAGTAGGACAATTGTTTCTACTATAAATTCAAAAACCCTCTTCCCATATTATATAGATATATATATGTATATATATGTATATATATAATACATCCTAATTTGGTATCTAGAATGTCGGCTTGCGTCCTCTGTCTTAAATTTATTTATTTTTTCTATTTCAAAATCGGTAGTGCTATATACACTGATTGATATAGTAATTAGTGTATTAACATAGTTATGATTAACATACATTATACAAATTACAAAGGTTCAAAATTTGTAAAATTATGTCACATCATTCGTTAGTACATTAATTGATATATCATTTGATATATATAGCATTATTCATTTCCAAATACTTGTATATATCTTGAAATTTTTATATATCTGGGTTGGGGATTAACCTCTGAAATTTCAAATGATGAAAATAAAAATAAAAAGAGATTTGAGAATATATGATCGGTAACTCAAAATAGCAACAATTAATGAAATGATCATTCAGATATATAGATCGAGATATTCAACCGACTTAAGTACCAATCAGATTTTTTTTTGATTCAAAAAGTACCAATCAGATTTAAGCTAATGGTAAAGATGGTAGAAATTGGTTTTTGGATTTGGACAAATATATAGATGGTAGATTTTTTTTTATTTATTTAAACAATTCAATTACTCTAAACTATTTATAATGGGGTTAAATAGTTTATTTATTTAAACAATTCAATCACATGGTGCCTTCTTTGATTGAGTTTGGTCTACAGGATAGGGCTTATCGCTTATCCCATTTACATTAATGGTTTGTCTAATAGTATGAAAGGTGACGAGTACTATCACATAACAATGGCATGCTATACCCTTTTCTATACCCAATAATTTCTCCTTCTTCAATGTTTTTGTTCAAAGAACTAGGAATGCTTGAAAACTAAGAGCATCTCCAATAGAGATGTTAACTTTGTGTGTTATATGACAAAAAATTACAAGTGAGACCAAAACTAAAATAAAAAATAAAAAATCAATCCCTATGAAACAAATTGCTTGAAATTTTTTGCACCATAGAATTATATTAAAACAAAGAATTTGTTTAGCTTAGTAAAATTCAGTATCTTACCGACACTAGATTGGGGGGCTGCCTCCCTCGGTGCCTCCATATCGACATCAAGTGGCTGTGAGTGTTGGGTATCCACATTGTCATGTAAATCCCCATTTGGAACAACAATTGCCTCGTGCGAAGGTTGAAGAGATGACTGCGCCAATCGTTTTGGTGGCATTGGTAAGCCCTAAAAAACATAATACAAAAGCATAAACAATAAATACATAAAAATGGATAAGTAAAGATATGTATATGGAAACCCATCAAGGCCACTGTTGATATTTGTAATCTGATCCAGTCCACTCCTTTTCTTCCCAAGACTGGTCCTGACAAGTGGTTGCTTTGAATATTTTTAAAATGGTCAGGTAAAGGGTGTTGTCACTCAAAAACCTGTAGGCAAGTTGAGTGGTTGAGTGGTTGTGAGCTACCAGTAGTTCTAATATCTTTAATTGGTTTTTCCTAATTGTGTGCTTTGCAAGTTGTCAATCTGGTGTTTCCAACATGGTCAAATTATGTCTTATTTCGTTATACATTTGTGTTCCAGCTAACTTACTCCTACAGTTTGTTTTGGTATGCATATTGTTGTATGTAGGATGTATATTTTCTAGTTTTATTTTATGACTTATTCATCCAATAAAGTATACGGAAATATAAAGATAGTATTAACAAAGCATCGTTAACAAATATATAGCTATCGGTGACATAATAAAAAAAAATGAATGGCCATACATATAGTACCTCATCGTCAACACTTTCAAAGGACTCAGCATCAGTGTCATCCTCATGATCTGACGGTATGTAGTCATCATCATCTACCCTAATTTTCTTTCCCTTTTGATGAACACGATTGGGCTGAGTAGAACCCATCAAAGAAGCTGCTAAACAGTTCAATTGTAGAGCATCCATTTTCTTTTTATTCTTCTTGATTGTCTTATATCTTTCCATTTCGTAAAAGGGGCAAATGCATGAGGCATGGTAATATCTATGTACATGGAATAGCAAGTTGAACATATATTCTAAAAGAGTAGCCATGCAGTCACACTTGGGAAAAATATATTCTAAAAGATAGATAGTTCATTATTAACATTTCCAAAACAGTAAAGCATTTATCATTGTTTGAGAGTGACCTCACATATGTCCATGTAATATCTATGTACATGGAATAGCAAGTTGAACATAAGAAGATCCTTAATATATATGATAAACGTGATCATCATGCAATGGTTTTACATTCTCAAATGGCACCATTTAACACTGATTGGTGACGAGTACTATCACATAACAATGGCATGCTATACCCTTTTCTATACCCAATAATTTCTCCTTCTTCAATGTTTTTGTTGAAGGAACTAGGAAAGCTTGTAAACTAAGAGCATCTCTAATAGAGATGTTAACTTTGTGTGTTATATGACAAAAAATTACAAGTGAGACCAAAACTAAAATAAAAAATAAAAAATCAATCCCTATGAAACAAATTGCTTGAAATTTTTTGCACCATAAAATTATATTAAAACAATGAATTTGTTTAGCTTAGTAAAATTTAGTATCTTACCGACACTAGATTGGGGGGCTGCCTCCCTCGGTGCCTCCATATCGACATCAAGTGGCTGTGAGTGTTGGGTATCCACATTGTCATGTAAATCCCCATTTGGAACAACAATTGCCTCGTGCGAAGGTTGAAGAGATGACTGCGCCAATCGTTTTGGTGGCATTGGTAAGCCCTAAAAAACATAATACAAAAGCATAAACAATAAATACATAAAAATGGATAAGTAAAGATATGTATATGGAAACCCATCAAGGCCACTGTTGATATTTGTAATCTGATCCAGTCCACTCCTTTTCTTCCCAAGATTGGTCCTGACAAGTGGTTGCTTTGAATATTTTTAAAATGGTCAGGTAAAGGGTGTTGTCACTCAAAAACCTGTAGGCAAGTTGAGTGGTTGAGTGGTTGTGAGCTACCAGTAGTTCTAATATCTTTAATTGGTTTTTCCTAATTGTGTGCTTTGCAAGTTGTCAATCTGGTGTTTCCAACATGGTCAAATTATGTCTTATTTCGTTATACATTTGTGTTCCAGCTAACTTACTCCTACAGTTTGTTTTGGTATGCATATTGTTGTATGTAGGATGTATATTTTCTAGTTTTATTTTATGACTTATTCATCCAATAAAGTATACGGAAATATAAAGATAGTATTAACAAAGCATCGTTAACAAATATATAGCTATCGGTGACATAATAAAAAAAATTGAATGGCCATACATATAGTACCTCATCGTCAACACTTTCAAAGGACTCAGCATCAGTGTCATCCTCATGATCTGACGGTATGTAGTCATCATCATCTACCCTAATTTTCTTTCCCTTTTGATGAACATGATTGGGCTGAGTAGAACCCATCAAAGAAGTTGCTATACGCTTCAATTGTAGAGCATCCATTTTCTTATTATTCTTCTTGATTGTCTTATATCTTTCCATTTCGTACTCTGTTCGCTTCTGTTTCGCTAGAAAACCTGGTTTGATCCATTGTTTCTCCCCTTTGGCCATTTGGTTAACTAAAAAGCATAAATTGATATCAAACATGAAATATAAAGCATAATTTTACTTGAAGAGACGCAACAAAATATATCATAACCATGTAATGCATTAAAAACATATGTCCATATAGAAACCTAAAAAAAACAAAAACTACATATCATAATCCATATCAGGTTCCATATCAAGATCCATATCATCATCAAGTACGCCAAGTTCTTCATCTTCTTCATCATCTCTATCATCTCTCTTTGTTTTATTTGAAATAACCTCAGCTTCAATATCATCCCTATGAAATCGAATAATATCTTCAATGTTGACCGGGACAACTGAGTTAATGTTTTCTTGTTGGAATGCATCATTAAATTCTGGTTGATCTGGTGGTTCTCCATCACCAACCTCTGGCACATCAAACACACCTCTATGTTGGACCCGTTGCACGACTTGCCAAGGTTGCCCCCATTTGGTGTCATTCAGGTAGAACACTAGCTTAGCTTGACTAGGCAAGATAAAAGGGTCAGATTGATACCATCGGCTTGTGACATCGATGCTTGTGCAATATGTGTCAGCTCGTACTGTTCTACTTCTACCAGTGTTACCGGTGTTGTACCATTCACATTGAAACAAAACAACTTTATTTTGACACATGTACTCAAATTCCCAAATATTGCACAAGTGACCGTAGAATTCGTGCATCTCTCCCTTGTAGTCCCCTTCGGTAAGCACACCACTGTTTTGACTCTTACGACGATTGTCTAATTCCTTATTGTGGAATCTGACACCATTAATTATACAACCCGAGTACTCTTTCACTAGCAAATTAGGACCATTCGCTAAGGACCACAATTCTTCGGTTGCTTCTGGTGCCTCATCAACTCTCAATCTATTTATCTACATCCACATGCAATGTGCAACACTTGAATTATGTTAGTAATGTTTGTATTTTACACAAGCCTAATAGTGTTTGGCCAATTGTGAATATTAAAAATGACTTACATATTCTTTGAACCACTTTGGAAATTCCTTCTGTTGTATCTGAGTTATATCTTGTCCACTGGGAATTTGTAACAAATTCTTGTGTTCCCTACTCAAATAGTTTTGGTTAATGTGTGAAATACTACTATTATTAATGACTAATAACATGATAATTGTTAAAATATATATAATTATAAGAAACACGTACTGAAGATACTTCTCTATCTCAGGGCTATTGTATAATAAGAACCAATGAGCAATATCACGAAGTTCCTGTGACATCTCAACATGCTTTCTGATTTGGCCAATAGGACGAGCAGTTTCGGTAAATATTATCAAACCTTCACGACGGACTCCATAATCTTCATTTCGTGCATCTCGATTATGCACGGTTTCAATCCCTTCAAGGTACATTGAGCAAAAAGTAATGCACTCCTTGACAATGTAAGCCTCTGCAATAGAACCTTCTGGTCGAGCTCGATTGATGACAAACTTTTTCAAAGATCCGAGAAACCTTGAAGAGATAACCAATTACGAGTATGGTTAGGCACACAACGTAATCTATACCTTTCATTTGAAAGTACAATTTTAGAAATTACCTTTCAATCGGGTACATCCACCGATATTGCACAGGTCCTCCGAGAATAGTCTCACGTGGCAAGTGAATGGCCAAATGAACCATCACATCGAAGAAGGCTGGAGGAAAGATCTTTTCAAACTTACATAGTATGAGTACTATACGTTCCTCTAATTCCTCCATTTTACTCAGTGTCCTTGAGCATAAATCTTGGAAGAAGCTACCTAACTCAAAAAGTGCTGTACTGATCTCTTTATCTACGTAACCACGCATCCCAATAGGAAGAATCCGTTGTATAAGTACATGGCAGCCGTGGCTTTTCAATCCTGTTAATCTACCATTTTTTGCATTTACTGATCTCGAAATGTTTGCCGCGTACCCATCTGGATACTTGACTGATTTCAAGAATTCAAAGAAACCCTCTCTCTCTTTAGGGGTCAATGAGAAGCTGGCTCGCGGCTTCACATATGATCCATCGGGATTTGTTGTCAGCCACAATTCTTTCCTTATATTCATGTCTTCTAAATCCATTCGTGCCTTATCTGTATCCTTGTTCTTTCCATCAATTCCCAACATCGTTCCAAAAACATTTTCACTAAAGTTCTTCTCCACATGCATGACATCAATGTTGTGTCGAAGCCTCCTTTTCTTCCAATACGGTAGCTCATACAAGATGCTTACCTTTATAGAAAAATATATATATATATTTCAATTAAAAAAAATTTCAAGTCCAATGATTATACTGAGTTATATAAATTACAACCACACATAAATCAAGTGAGAAAATAGCCAAAGCAATTTAGCGTAAACAGAAGAAGTATTCACAACCAAAACATAAACCACAGCAAAATAACCATCAATAAGAAGACAAATATCATAAGTCCGAGAAAATTTAACCAATAAAACAGTGAGCTGAGAGTAAAAAGCAGATAACATGGCACAGAAAGAAAACCCACAATATGCCACATTGAGTTTCTAAAGCAGTCAATTTAAGTACTCAAATATCCAAATGCAAAATGATATGATTGAACTACACGTATTTGGAAAAATATATATATGCCCCGAATACCAGAATTGACAAATCTATCAACTAAATTGGGATATTGAAAAAATAAGACATTGGGAAACAATAACTATTCTGGCTCACATTTCACTCGGTAAACAAAATGTGATTAAATTTTGCAGAGGAACTTAATAATGTACTTGAGGAGCTATGCATATAAGAAATGAACAATGCCAATATAATTGATAGCCACATGCGACAATTCCAATGAATGCCCCGAGACTATAATTTAGTACTTAGCCTGTAATTGCAGTTAGTACTCTGTTTGATTTTCTCTTTACTCAACTATATACGAAGTCCAGAGAAGTTAAATCAACATATGCTAATTTAAGGGTGTAATATTCCAATTTTCATTAAATTGATAGTTGTGAGAGAAAAAATAATTAATTAATATGTAATATATAATATTTTATCTTATTGATTATTTTAATATTTTTTATTTTTATTGACTATTTTAGCCAAAATCTATCATCCCAAACATATAGACTCAAACTCCCCTAAAAACTTAGAATGCACATGAGAGAGAGGACTGGGGCCACTGTTTTGTTTGGGAAGTGTTGGATTGGAGATGATAACAGTGAATGGTTTGTAAGAAAAAGTTGAAAACCCTTGAAAGAGAGAATAATTCCTTCATGGAGCCAAGGGGCTGTGAACTGTTACTCACTGTTTTAGATAATTCAAAGTATACAGATTTTGGATGCAAAGCTAAGGGTCATAA